TGTGTTTTGCCATTGGTAGTAAGCTTAAATTTTTGGGGGGTGAAATGAACTTTTTTCTGTTTTAAGTTTGTGGAAGGAGATGCTGCTTTCCTGAAATGCTACTTATATACTGATCTTTAGAGTGGTGCATTTGTCACCAGTGTCACACCCAAAAATGAACAGTATACAAGCAGAAAATTTATTACTTTTGTTTTTCCTGTGTCTCATATAACAAAACGATAATGTAGACCCCTCATATTCAGGTTGAGAGCAATGCTAATCCACTTTTAAGTTCAATCTGCTTTATTAACATTTCCTTCATCACTATCATAATCAACAAATCAATATATCACTCAACAAAACAATAAATCAAACCCTAATTTGTAAAATTTGCTGATTTCTGAGGCATAGATGTTCACACTGAAAATTTATCAATCTGCTCAGAAGCTGGTTTGAGCTGGTTCCTGTACAGCTCTGCCTATTTATGACTTATTTGAACCTCCCACCTTCCTTTTGTGAAGAAGAAAGGGTAAAAATCCTAAATTTAAAAAAAACACATTATTTTATTATTTCAGCTCCACACTCCATATAATCTGTGGTCACAAACCAGCTGCATTGTAACTAATATGGAATGAGTGGAGCTTTGCCCCAGGGCACCAAGGTCTGGGAGGTCATTATGTCTCCATGTAATAATCACCATCCCCCACCCCTATCCCCAACAAATCTTGACTTGCAGTTCACTGACCATCATTGCTCAAAACAACTGCCACTGTAGATTCTGAGTCTACTTTTCCTTCCAAGTCCTCTGGGTACAAGGACTGGAACATGAATTCTATCAAGTTACAGATATATTAACCTGTGTAATTTTTTGGAATTTTGGTACATTTGCCATACATATCAATGAAACTTAAGTACTTGATCAAAATTCATGTTTTTAAAAAATTAGGAAGGCCACAAAAATTTCAAAAAGTTTTAAGAACCATACTGTATTTTTCCATTTTTCAGTGTCCTGAGGTACAGTAGCATGGTAAAGCTAACGGGATTTTTAGCCACCACGGCTAGGTGGCACAATGTATACACAGCTGGGCCTGGAGTCAGGAAAACCTAAGTTCAGATATGACCCCAGACACTTACTGTATGACCTTGGGCAAGTCACTTAATCTCTGCTTACTTCAGCTTCCTCAAATGGGGATGATAATAGCAGCACCGATCTCCCAGGGTTATTTTCAAGATAAAATGACATAATATTTATAAAGCATTGAATACAGTGGCATGCTATAGACACTTAATAAATACTTGTTCATTTTCTCTTTCTTCATTGAGGAGGATGCCATGGTGCCTTCAGTCATTCTGATTGTATATTCTTATTGCACTGTGGATAGAGATGAAGGATATTCAGTTGAATCTGTATTCACATGAGGACAAACTCTGGGATTAGTCTTGAGTTCTAGTCCTGACTGGTACTGGCCAGCAATATATGACTATAGGCAGAAGTACTCAAGGATTTAATGATATTTTTATGTAATTAAGATGTTTTGTATCCATGTCAATATAACTAACATAGCTGTGGTATGTTATTGATGAAGCCATGATCTTCATCTCTCTGGGCATTTACTTGTAAAATAAGGATATTCAATTAGACAATCTCTAAAGTCCTCCCCACCTCTAAAATACTCTCTGACTTCATACGATGTAGGTAGCCAAGCTGTATGACAGATCTAATCTAGTCTAATTTTCCCCAAAGACACAAAAACCTACCCTGAATGCCAATAAAGTTAAAGAATGAAGACTGTGATTCCTATGTGATTCATTCTTGAAATGTGCTTTCAAAAAAACATTTCCTAGTGTCCTTCCAGATTCAGCTTCTCCTCAGTACCTTGAAACACATTCAGGTAGTTCCCAGAGATGATTAATCCTCCTTAAATGCTTGGTGACATCATAGAAGAAAAATCTAATCAAGATAGCTCCTCCAGAAAAATCGTTTTTTCATTAAGTAATTTTTCATTTTTCCAATAGATTTTTACTTTGTAAATGACCACATGGTAATACAAATCAACCCTCATCTTCTTTAGCTATAATCTGAACTGTAGTTTTCCAATGAGTGGTGATTTTCCCAAAGAAACAATGGTAGAACCTTCAGTTTTTCATGTTTCCTTGATTATGGTTTCTTTTTTTTAATTTAATTTAATTTTTTTTTGTTTTTACTTTACCTTCATTTCTGATTCTATCCATCATTCTCTCCTACCCAGCAAGCCATCTCTTACAACAGAGAGTAAAAAAAAAAAGAAAGAAATAATAACACCTACCTCTCACAGTTGTTGTAAGGATTAAGTGAGATGATATTTGTATAGTACTTAGCATAGTACCTTGCATACAGTAGGTACTATATAAATGTTTATTCCCTTCTCTTCCCCCTTCTTCAAAAAAGAGAAAGTACATTTTTTTCATCTCTTCTCCAGGGACAATCTTGGTCATTACACTTACTCAAAATTCAATTTCCTTTCTTTGTTCTTTTTGTTTCTATGTTGTCATTTATATTATTTTCCTGGTTTTGCTTGCTTCACACTGTCAATTCATATAAATATCCCCATGCTTCCCATATTATCATTTCTTATGAAACACCCTGTTTTCCAGAGCTAAGGCCCAGCAAGCAAGCCATGCCCTGAACTTAGCATAACAATTATTTGTGCTCATCCTCTGAATGATCTCAGCCACAGTAAAACACCAGAACTGGGATTTATGATTTTAACTATTTAGCCCTATTTCCCAAGGGATCCTGGACTGAGAGCTGGAGCTACAGCCAACTTGCTGCAGCAGAAAGTAATCAATCATCTCTCTTGACACTGAACAATCCCCATGCTTGCAACTGCTAAGTGAACTGAACCAGGTGTTGCACTCCTGTTCCTGCCACACTAACCCTGGCTCTATACCTCACTGAACAATCACAAGCTTCAACCACCCTTAAGACTTAAGACTAGGCTCAATGATTCTAATAACTTGGGGACTGTTCCCACAGTATTGCCCCCAAAATCCCTGCATGTATGCACCATGGAAACTGTTTACTTAAGACCTAGGAATGATTGTGTTAAGTCCTGTGGTTTTCATACTTAAAAGCCCTAGCTGAGCCACAAGCCACAAGCCCTCCTTCTCAGGGGAACTTCGGTTTACAAACCTGTTTTCCTCAGTCTGAAATTAAACTTCTGTTTGATTCCTACCACCCCTGTCTCTAGTCTGCTTTGTTTGGCTCTGGCCACCCACAGGTTAGAGGCTGGTTCCTGCCTGACTGATTGCATCAAGGGGCAAGAGTTGGGTCCAGCTCTTCTTGACCCCAAGGCTGGTTATCTGTTTGTGATGCCAGGCTACTTCTCATCCTTCCCACAGTTACTTGTAGTCAGCCAAATATATTTCTCTGACCATGTCATTCTTCTACCCCAAAACCTTTAGCAAGTGTCCAGTGCCTCCAAAATTAAGTATAAACACCTTATCTGGAGATTCAATTCCCTCTACAATCTAGCTCTAAGCTATCAGCCTTATTGCATATCATTTACTATCATGCACTAGTGTGGCATAGTGGATAGAGGGCTAAATTTGCACTCAGGATGAGCAGGTTAAAAATCCTGTCTCTGACAGTGTCTTTGTGACCATGGGCAAGTCACTTAATTTCTGTGAGCCTCAATTTTCTCATATGCAGAACTAATGCTCCTGCTACTAATAGTAATAATATCTATAGTACCTACCCCAGGGCAGGTATTACCCTAAGCTACTATTACCCCAGGGTAATAGTGAAACTTAAAGGAGATAGTGTATTATTAAAGCCCTTTGCAAACTATAAAGCCCCGTCAAACTATTATAGCTGTTATTACTGCTCAGTCCAGCCAAACTGTACCTCATCCTTCTTGATTTAGCCCCTCCTTGGCTTTTAGTCATTCTGTCACCCATGGATGAAATGGCCTGTTGAAGTTTACCCCATTTCCTCCATGAAGCCTCTTCCTTTTGCCTAGCTGAAAAGCATCTTTCCTTCCTCAAATTTCTCACAGCACTTTTCCTGGACTTCCTTTCCCTTATACTACTGGTATCATGTTTATCTGTGTACTTGTAAGCTCATAGAGAGCAGAGTGTGTATCATATCTATTCTTGTATTCACATAATAGACACAAAATACATGTTTGTAGAATTGAACTGAATTTATTCCAAGATATAGGTATTGGCTCCTGCCCTCAGGCCTAGAATGTCTGCCTTTACTTGACTGTGGGCATTAGGGTGGAATAGATTTTGCTTTACCATGGAGCTTCAAAATTAAGAAACCTAACCATGGCTCCAGAGAGGCAGCTTTGCATAGTGGACAGAAAGAGCCGAACTCAAAGTGGCTAAGATCTGAATGTGAGTTCTAGTTCTGACACATAGCTGTGTGTGTGACCTTAGGAAAATCACTTTCTCTCACAGTGCCCCAGGCAATTCTCTTAAAATATCAATTGCTGTGTGGGTGATGATCTGCCTTGGTAGAGGGAGTTTTCTTACAGTAAGTTCCTTATACAGATGAAATCAAAGGCCCAATGCCCAGCACTCACCACACACCTCTCAAAAAACCATTGTTCCAGCAAGGCATCCTACAAACAAGGAGGCAAGGGGGGTTACTGCAACAGAAAACCAAGATTATGATGCCAAAAATCAGTGTTGTACATTTTAACCCTATTTACTCCATTTCTGGGTACTCCTCCATTAGGAAAATTCCTAACATTCAGACAAAGGTTTAGCTTTCTGCCCTAATTTAAATTTTGTGTATTTTTAGTTAAGTCCTTACTTCCTCCAGGTTAAAGGAAGTGCAGGCAAAAGTACAGGCCAAAGTACTTTAGTACAGGTTAAAGGAAGAAGTTTAGCTAAAAAAGAAATAAGAAAAGAGTATATAACAGCATCTTTTATCAGACATAAGAAAGGGAAGTTGGGGCAAAGAATAGACCTCTCAGAATTCGCTCAGTCTTTGATGAGGAAATTACAACTGGGAACTTCAATCCAAGTTCTTTGTTCCAAGACATCAGTAGGGTACAAATCTTTGTCTGTCTGTTTTGTGTCTCTTATCTCTGTCTGTCTCTGTTTCCTTGTCTTCGCTGGCTCCTTCTTTTCTACCTCCCCACTCTTCTGCTTTTCTCTCAGGTTCAGCCCGCTAAGGCCCTGCCTCGTTAACATTGCTGTTCAAACTGTCATAGCTTCTTCCTTCCTTCCTTTGTTCTTTCACAGCCTATATGTAACTCTCTCAAAACTCCTGATTGTGAGTCAAGTCTGCCTCTCGGCTCAAAGGTTGCAATAGTCCAAAACTCTTCTCAGGACTGAAAGGGAACACCTGTCTCTCTGAATGACAGATTCAAAAATTCTGGTCAGTTCTCTGATCCCTATTACACAGTTATTATGGATATTGGTTTTTATCCTCCACTGCCTTTACCTTCTATTATTTCATACATGTGTTTCCAAGTTTCTTTAAATTAATCTCATTGGTCATTCGTTATCATTCTGTTGATACAACACACTTTCCTGGTAAATATATATGCATGTGTGTACATATATATATATGCATGTATATATACACATATAGATATATGTATATGTACAGGTGCATGTAAATGTATATGTATGAATATTTTGTTCATTCCCCAAATCGCTGGTCACATTTTGTTTCCAGCTTTTTGTTATCACAAATAATGCTGCTATGTACATTTTTGTAAATATAAGTCTTTTCTTACTATCCTGCCCCTTGGGGCATAGTTTCAGTGGTGGTAGAATCTCTTCGTCAAGTGGAATGAACAATTTAGTAACTTTCCTTCCAAAATTACAAATTCTTCTTTAGAAGTTGAACTGATTCATATCTCTACTAGCAGTGAATTGGTATGCCTGTCCCCCAAACTTTATCCAACAATGAGTTTTTCCATCTTTTAGCATGTTTGCTATCTTTCTGGGTGTGAAGTGATACCTCAGAGCTGTTTTAATGTGCATTTCTCTTATTATGAGTGATTTGGAACTTTTTTAAAAAAATGGTTAATAGTTTGTATTTCTTCTTTTGACAAGTTTATATTTTTTAACCAAATGTATGGGGAATGGCTCTTAAACTTAAAATTTGTGTCAATTTCCTTTAGATTTTGAATGTCAGACTTTTAAGAGATATTTAATGCAATTTTTTCCCCTGAACCCACAAAGATTTTATGGAATAGCTTCTTAATTTTCTGTAATCATTATAGATTCATAAATTTAGAGGTAGAAGGGACTTTTCAAGTTATCTAGTCCAAGATCTACCTATTAAGGATGAGGAATTAAGCCCAGAGAGGTTAAATGACTTACCCAAGATCACACAGACCTGGAATTTCAGCTAAATTCCTCTGATTCCAAACCCAGTCGTCTTTCCACTGCACCATTGTTTGCTTTAATTGTTACTATTTTTATCCAGTTTCTGGTTACAAATTTTTCCCCTTTCAACAACTGCGAAAGATAAAATCTTCTATTCTCTAATTCTTTATAATTTTTTCATATTTAGATTGTTCATCTACTGGAACTTATTGTAGTAGAAAGCATAAAGTGCATGTTTAGACCTATGCTTTGGCAGACTGCTTCCCAGTTTTTCCAGAAGTTTTTGTTGAATAGAATTCTTTCTTTAGTAGGTTTTCTTTTGAGCTTATTATGACTTTAGCATAATTTTTCTAGCTCTTACTTAGCTGATCTATTCCACTGATTTACTTTTTTATTTTTTAATATAGTAGTAGATAATTTTAATAATTACTGCTTTGTACTATAGTCTGAGATCCAGAAGGGCAAATCCTCTTGTCTTCCTACTTTCCCCATTGTATTTTTTGATATTTTTGATATTCCTCAAATAAACTTCATCATTTTTTAAATTCATAAGTTTAAAACATTAATATAATACTAAATTTGCAGAATAATTTGAGAAGTATAGTCCTTTTTTTCATATTGGTGTGGCCAAGCTATGAAAATTGAATGTCTCTCCAAACTTGTAAATGCCTGAGCTACTTCCTTAGCTCATCAGCACCCCATCCTCCCCAGTCTCAGGCAATAGTATCCTTTTAATCTGAAGGTCTAGCTCTGTAACACTTCTAAGGGATCAGCATGACTCCAGAGAGAAGTAATTCCTTCCTGGTAAGGGGATCTCAGCCTTTGTTCTACCAAGCCTCTTCTGCAAGTCATGCCAGGTGCATACTATCTTCACAGAGAAAAGCAAGCAATCTGAGCTACATAACCCCCTCCTTTCCAGTGTGTGCGTGTGTATATTTGTGTGTGTGTGTGATTTCCTAGATATTTAGTACATTAGGTTGTTATTTTAAATGGAATTTCTCTTTCTTTCTCTTCTTCCTGAGATTGTTAATAATATATAGAAAAGTTGCTGATTTTTATGGATTTATTTTACATCTTGCTACATTATTGAAACAATTTATTGTCTTGGAGAAGTGGTATGAAATAGAGGATAAAATGCTTGAACTGGAGTCAGGAAGACCCACCTTAAAATCTTGCCACTGCCAGAAGCTGTATGTGACCAAGGCAAATCACTTAAACTCTCAGAGCCTCAGCCAATTAAGTTGTCTGAGTTGTAAGTTATGGATGAACAATAAGTTACATTAGTGGGGAGAATTCCTATACCAATAAAGTCACAAGTCTTCGAGGTATTAATTTTTGGTTGATTCTCTTGGTTTTTTTTTTTAAAGTCATTTGATCACATACAAATATAGATAATTTTGCTTATGCTTACCCCATTTTTTTTGTAATTGCTATAGAGAGCATAGCTAGAGCATTATTTCAAATAACAATAGAGACATTGGCATATTTGCTTTATCTTTAAGCTTACTGGGAAAGATTCCCTTGATTCTGTTATTTTAAAAAAAAACTACTTGCTGTTGGCTTGGATAGATGTTTTTTGATAATATTAAGAAATGGACCTTTTATTCCTATATTTTTATTGCTTTAAAAAACTCTCATAAATGAATGTCATATTTTGGTAAAGGCTTTTCCTGTGTCTGTTGAAATAATATTTCTTATTGAAAGGTTGGAGGGGCAGGTAGGTGGTGCTGCAGATAGAGCACTGGCCCTGGAGTTCAAATTTGGCCTCAGACACTTGACACTTAGTAGCTGTGTGACCTTTGGCAAATCACTTAACCCAAATTGCCTTGCAAACAAAAAACAAGTAAAAAAAAAACCTAGGTTGAAGAATAGTTGCTAATTTGCATTGATGAAAGGAGTTTTCTTATACCAATGAAATGAAATGAAAGATTCAGAAAAAGATAATTGTGATTTTTGAATGATTTTTACTATTAATATCATTTATGTTTAGTCTTCCTAATGTTGTCCTATCCTGTAAATCAACCTGATAATAGTGAATAATTTTATTGTATTTCTGTAGCTCTTTGTTAATATTATACTTAATATTTTGTGTCAATATTAATTAGTGATAGTGAACTAAAATTTTCTTTCTCTGCTTTATCTCCCTTTGTTTTAGGTATAAGTATAATACTTTTCTGAAAGAAGGAATTTGGTAAGGTGGTTTTTTCTCTCTTTTACAAACAATCTAGTTAGCATAGGGTTTAAAAATATTTGATAGCATTTACTTATAAGTCTGTCTGGATTAGGTTTGTTTTTTTCCCCCTTTAGGAGCTTATTTATGACTTACTAGATTTTTCTTTCCAAGAATGGATTATTTAGACTCTATTGCTTCTTTTGTCAATCTGCATATTTTACAATTCTATACATACTCATTAATTTGTTTTCAGATTTATTGACATATAATTGGATAACATAGTTATTTATGATTTTCTTTATTTCTTCTCCATTAATTATGAATTCGCCCTTCTCATTAAAAAAATTGATAATTATATTTTACTCTTTCTCTTAAAAAAAAACCCATAGTTTATCTATTTTATCAGTCTTTTAAAGCCTGGGCTTCCAAAGTTTTATCTGAATGATCCAAAGTCAGCAACTTTTCATGGCCATGGAAAGGGAATTTAGTATAATATAATGTAACATTTATAGAGATTTAAGGTTTATAAAATATTTTCCTCACTATAACTCTATGAGGAAGGTGGTAAAAATGTGCATTTACCGCAATTGAGAAAAAAATGCAAACACAACAGCTTACTGATATACTGCACAATTAGATAATTATCTATATTAATGTTCCCTCTGGCAATCACCTCAATCATGCTCAACTTGACTTATTCTCTAGTGATACTCTATTGATCTGTGGTAGACCTTGCCTTTCTAGGCTACTTATTTTTAACCCCTTGTTTTCTTTCAGGAGCAATGAATCATTCTGCCCTGGAAATTGGCTCCTGTGACACCCCTGAAGAGAGAAAGCTCTATGTTATTGATTCTTTAAATGACTTAAACAAAGTGAACCTCTCTCCTGCTGGATCCCAGGGTATGATTTGTATGTGTGTGCCAGGGGAAGTCTGGCAACTGTTTTCTTGTTTACAATTTGTCTAAAAATAACAAATGTTAGTATGAGAATGTGGGTTCATCTTTAACATTTGAAACTAACTGTTTATCACCAGGAAATCAATTCTACTTTTTGTTTTTGTTCACTAAATTCTTGACAGAATTATAGACTTGTTCAAACTAACATGGAAAGTCTCTTAACTCCTTGGGCTTTCTTTTTTTTTTTTTTAAGATTGTGTCTCTATCTTGTCCAGTTTATAAAGGCAGTAGCTTCTCACAGTCCCAATTCCACCACTAATCAACATTGGAGTTTTGACCTGCTCTGTTACTGACCTGGGCTGGTTCACCCCTCCTTAAATAGTCTGTTGGCCCTCTGCTACCAGGGACTTACCATATTGGTTCCAAACTCAGCATAGACACTGAATGTCAACACTTAAATGATCCACCTGCCTTAGTCTTGCCAGCATATGGGATTACAGGTGTGTGCCACCATGCCCGCCTCCTCTGTTACTCTTTCAGAAGCTTTCCAGATGCCAAGAAGAAACAAATACAGCCCTACCTCCACCCTCAATTCTAGGAGCATTTCTCCACAACTCTTGCTGTTCTACCACTTAGTACCATCAGCTCAAGGTTTCCATTCTAGTTTATTAATTTCTTCTCAAATTTCTATCTTCCCTGCAGGCTACTTTTAAAAAATCTTTTGTGATTTTCATAGACTCCCAGAAACTCAGCCTTAGAAGGGGTCCGTAGTGACCAACTAGTCCAAACACACCTGAAAAAGAATCTTCTATAGAACATAGCCCACAAGTGGTCATCCAGCCTTTGTCTGAAGCCCTTAAGTGATAGGGAACATGTATTCTAATGCAGACTGTCCCACTTTTGGATACTTCTAATTAAGAAATTTTTTCCTAATGGGATACTTAAATTTGTCTCTTTGTACCTTATATCCATTACTCTAAGTTTTACCTTCTGAGGCTAAACAGAACTGGTTTATTTGCTCTTTCACATGAAAACACTACCAGTACCTGCAGTTAGCTGTCTTGTGCCCCCTCCAAGTGTTCCTTTCTCCCTTCTCTCTCTTTTCTCCTTCTGTTGTACACACTCTTAACTTCTTCAGAACCTCAAGTCAACTATTACTAGGCATGGCTGCAAGTTGTGAAATGAATGGAAGTGGAGTATGGCCAATCCATTCACTTGAATCCTCTTCCCATCTGATATGGATCACTGCGTGATTGCTGTGGCCATAGTAAATAGATACTGATTATGAAAATGGCTGCTGTGAACTGTCTGGTTCAGTGACTATGAAGAGACATGCTATATCTGAATCTTGGCCTCAACATCTCTTTTTATGTGGCTTTGACAGTAAGACTATAGTAAGCATATTACCACCAAAAGGAAATCAATATAAATGGCAGTTTCTTTTAATTTTTTTAAACCCAGGGGAAATTTATAATATTTCACATACCACAAAGACCTAAAGCCCAGTTATTACCTTATGCATCTGAAGGAGGAATAGATACATCTTTAATCAATCAATGAAATATTAAATACTATGTACAAGACAATACTAGGTATAGTGGAGGACATGAAAAACTATGAGGCATGGTTCTTCTCTAAATCAGCTTACAACAATAATAATAATAAAATTAAAAATAAAAAAACCTTTAAAAATTTAAAAATTAAAAAAAAATCGGTTTGGGGAACTCCCTGGGACAAAAACTCCCTCCATCAGCGCAGAAGCTGGGCCAAGGTGGTGTGGTGTAGTGGTTAGAATCCTGGAATGGAATCAGGAAGACCTGAATTTAACTTCCCTGATGACATACTTTGACTTGTTCCTGCTACCTGCTTTCATTGTTGCTATTGGGATTCTTGTTTTGGCTTGACCTGAAATGGTCTCTGCTTTAATCTTACTTGGATAATAAAATAATTACTATTATTACTATTGCTAATTTTATATAGTACTTCAAGATATACAAAGTGCTTTACTTACATTAGCTCATTTATCCCCCCACAACAACCCTGTGAAGTAGGTACTATTATCCCTATTTTACAGATGAGGAAACTGAGGCTGGGAGATAAGTGAATTACTCACAGCAGTAGTGTCTGAGGGAAGATTTGGATTCAGGTCTTCCTAATTCTAAGTCCAACACTGAATTAGAAGGTACCCCAAACTGATTTTTTTAATTTTTAAATTTTTAAAAATTTTTTAAGTTTATTTTTTTATTTTTAATTTTATTATTATTATTATTATTATTGTAAGCTTTTTTAGAGCAGAACCATGCCTCATAGTGCCTCAAATATTTACTGGCAATGTCACCCTGGGCAAGTCATTTAACTTCTGAGTCTCAGCTTCAATAAAATGTAAAAATGAAGATAATAAGCACTCACCTCAGAGTTATTCTGAGGCTCAAATTATACACACATGTTTATCTATGAAGTCTTTTGCAAACCTTAGAGCCCTGGTAAGCTATTATTAAATTTTTTTGAACCCTAACTTCTTATGTAGAAGAGGGTCCTTACCTCAGGCAACCCAAATCTCCACCCCCTTCCCTTCAGTGAGTACTGCTTTAGGCCACCAGCTTAACAAACTTCTCTCCCACTTAGAGCTCAGACAACAGCTGAATTGTTTGCAGTCCTAAATAACCCAATCCATGGCCCACATATCCCTGACCTTCAAAATCAAGCTTTCAATCAACTGAGTATTACAAGCGCCACGTTTTGTGGACTTGGATGCCACATCAAACGAGATAGACTTGGACTTTGACCAAGCCCTTCCAACCTTGCCGCTCCCAGGTGGTAGTTGAAATGACAGACAGCTATCTATTCCAGTCTGGCACTCCTTACCCAGGAGACTAAATACCAGTAACCTGAGCGGGTAGGCTTTGAAAAATATTGTATTCAGACTAATGATAAACAGCTTCCCAACCCCAACTTCAAGTTACTAGGATTCTTTTGTCTAGTGCTACAAAATCTGACCATTTCTGGGACTTGGGGAAATTCACCTTCTGCCCCTAGTACTGGCAGAAGCAATATTTGAAGCAGATGAATGTGGCCTCCAGCAGCCAGATCCTGCCAGACCCTGAATCAGAGCCCCTTCTTCAACAACAGAATTTTCAAAACCAGGCTAAACAAGCCTGTGATTAATCTAGACCTGGAACACCAGTTTTGGCCAATAAAAGTTGCTCACTGACTAAGCTAGAGACAGCACCCCTGGAGAAGCTTCTTGGGGAAAAAAATTGTTAATTAATAAAGAGGTAGATGGACTTCACCTAAGTTTCTACTTCATTTACTGGAGCCTTGATATAACTTGGTGTAACTTATTAAGATGAATGAATGGATGGATGAATCAAAGGATTGTACTCTATTTTACAGCTAGCAGGGTTGCAAAGTAGACTGGACTACTCCTGACTCAGCCTGCTGAGGTCCCACCATGATCTACCTTTCTTTCCAACTTTCCTACCAACACCTTAGGCATATGTGAATATGTTGTATATGGCTAGCAACATGTAATTTGTATACAACACATTCACACATGAATATACATGAGATACATAAATATACATACATACATATATACATATATATATACATATACATATATATACATATACATATATATATGTATATATATAATACACGGTGATAGGTGGGGGTTGGATAGGGAGACTAACAGTTGGGGAAATCAGCTAAAACTTCTTGAAGGAACCAATACTTAATTTGAGCCTGGAAAGAAGCTAGGGGTTGTAAGAGGTAAAGGAGGGGAAGGGAGAACATTCCAGGCATGGGGGGGCAATTTGTGTAAAGACATAGAAGGGAATGATAGAATATCATGTACAGAAAATAGACCAGGTTGGCTGGAGTATATAGGGTGTATAAAGGAGAGTGACGCATAATCAGTCCAGAAAGAATAATTGTTATTCTGTTGTTTCAGACATGCTTGACTCTTCGTGACCCCATTTGGGGTTTTCTTGGCAAACAACTGGAGAGGTCTGCCATTTCCTTCTCCAGCTCATTTTACAGATGAGGAAACTGAGGCAAACAGGGTTAAGTGACTTGCCTAGGATCACACAGCTAGTACTTGTCTGAGGCTGGATTTGAACCCAGGACTTCCTTACTCCAGGCCCAGTATTTTATCCACTGCAACACTTAGCTTATAATTCAGAATAAAAGAAAAATAGGGCCTTTCTTACTTGAATTATGATCCTGATTCTGCTACTTATATTCACTAGCAGAATGGCCTATCTCTCTGAGTCTCAGTTTTCCCATCTGGAAATAATGGGTTCAGATTAGATGCTCTTTAAGATCCACTTCTGTTTCGTTTCACACCCATTTCAACTAAAATCATAGTTTGTAACCTCATAGACTCTCCAAACCTATGAAAACAGAGGCCTCGACTCATGAGTATGTTGGATCCCACTGAACTGCTAAGAGAGTTGATTGTTAAATATTCAGGGTGAGCATTTGATACTCATGTGGCCTTGCAATACTGTTTTGTTGATTGCCTAGATTTTAGAAAGTGATGGGAAAACTGTTAATCATGCAGATTAAATTTAGAAGTGTGTGCATTTTTTTTTCCTGGAGAGCCAGCTGTTAGACATTTACCATCAGTGCTGCTCAGATTAAAAAAAAATACAAACACAATCATGTCTATATATGAAAAGGTATCAAAGATGTTAATTTGAAATAGAAACAATCTAGGCCACTATTGACTTAGAAAACCACAAATTAACATAGTTTCTGATGTATTGCATTTTTATTTCTTTTGTTAAACATTTCCCAGTTACATTTTAATCTAGTTAAGGCTGGACAAGGGAGCTTTGCTTGTAGTTTGAAGCCCATGGGTGCTGATTAGATACCTCTGCTTTCGCTTATTCTGAAACAAATACATTTGATGGGTGAAGCAGAGTTAAAAGGGGTTCCGGTGAACACTTGCACAGTTCAATTCATCTTTCCCCAAGTTTCCAATTTCTTTATTGGGAAAGTTCCATGCAAGCAAGTTTATTGCCATTGACACTCATTGCATTTTTATCTCAGTGATGAAACAGTTAACAAACCTTTTCCACAGAGTAAACCAGGCTTAGAAGCACCTTTAAGAACCAGGAATGTCTCAGGGCCAGATTCAGGCATCAAAGATTATTCCAAATAACTCCTCAGGGAAAATTCTAAGGCCTCAATTTTTCACAGGAAGAAGAAATCCCATAGCCACTCCAACTCTTGGGCCTGTCTCCATTATACTTTTGCCTACATCAGAGAAAAGGATAGATAATATCTAACAGCTCTTCTGCCTGACTTCTCTCTTTTACCTCTCAACATGAAAATAAATCCCACATAAAGCAATGGGCCCACTTCTATAATTGACTATCACCTGAATGCTCTAATCTCCTGGAAATTATCTGACCTTTTTAAAGAAAAGGACAAATAGGTAGCAGAATCAGAAGGACTACATTAGAATCCTGCCTTAGCTATTTCTTAGTTGTGTGACCCTGACCAAATCACTTTATTTTTCTTAGTCTCAATTTCCTCATCTATAAAATGGAGATAAAAGTGATGGAGATCAAATGGAGATATTTTACTTAGTTACTGCAACAATCAAATGAGATGATATATTTCCCAAAAGTCTTAGTGCACTTTTAAGCTATTAAATTGTTATTTGATCTTATTTAATAATATAAATATTTATTTATTTGATTAAAGCTATTTAGGCTATTAAAGCTTAAAACTTCACTAAGACTTTTAAGCTATTATAGTTTTAAAATGCACTAAGACTTTTGGGACTCAAAGTATCTGCAAAGCTCTTTGTAAACATTAAAAAGATCTATAAATGTTAGCTATAATTAAGGAAGTAACCTAACCTTGGGCAGCTAGGTGACACGGTGGATAGAGTGCCAGGCCTGGAGTCAGGAAAACTCATCTTCCTGAGCTTAAATCTGGCCTCAGACACTTACTAGCTGTGTAATTCTGGGCAAGTCACTTAACATGTTTCCTCATCTGTAAAATGAGCTGGAGAAGGAAACAGCAAACCACTCCGGTATCTTTGCCAAGAAAACCCCAAATGGGGCCATGAAGAGTCGGACACAACTGAACAACAACAATAACAAATCCAACCCTGCTTATCCTTGGATGATAATGAAGGAAAAAAAGGAGGTAATCTGTATAACACAAGTCCTAGAAAAAAAGCTGAATAATTCATCTTTGCAGTTCAAAGACAGCCCCTCCTCACTCAAGTCAACTTTCTCAAAGATCGTAGTAATAGCAGCTCACATTTATGTAGTGCTTACTATGTGCCAGGCACTGTGCTAAGTGCTACAATTATTATTTCATTTGATCCTCATGACAACCCTGGAAGGCAGGTGCTATTATTATCCCCATTTTACACATAAGGAAACTGAGGCAAACAGAGTGTAAATGACTTACCCAAGGTCATACAGCTAAAAAGTGTCTGAGGCTGGATTTGGATTCAGGTCTTTGTAACGCCAGGCTTGGTGCTCACTGCATTACTTCGCTGCCACATTATCATAGATTTAGGGGGAAAAGTAACCTCACAGATCATTTAATTCAGTTGTCTCATTTTGCAGACAAGGAAGTTGAAGTCAAGAGGGTAAGTGACTTGCCCAAGGTTTCACTGACAGCAGGGAGCTGAGCTGAGATTTGAACTCAGATCTAAATTCAACACTCATTCCACTGCATCACAGTTTTCCTAACAACTGTTGTGCTGAATTCAGCAAAACTGTTTTCTGACATTAAATATTCCATCTGCTTTCCATAGTAGGGAACTTGGAATAGAGTTTGAGTCACTAAGTCTTTTTCTCATTTGTTTTATGTTAGCTCAAGAAAAGAAGTTCATAGAAGGTGCTGTTAACATAGGGAATGGAATCAGAAACCGAAGCTTATTCTTTGTGGCGTTGATCATTGCCTTGATCGTCAGCTTGACCCTGGTTTCTTTTGTGATATTTTTACTAAGTAAGTAAAAACCCATCAGGGACCTCATTACTTAGAACGTTACTTAAGGCTTTAATAGAATGTGCATCCTTCAGTCTGCTTCATGGCTAGCTATTAACTCCTTGTGCAGTACTTCTCCAGAGGGTGCAATAATAGACATGAATAGCTTCTCTTTTAGTTTATGAAGCACTTAGGCATTTTCTAGGATGAAAGATACAAAATAACACCTTTAGAATGTAAATTCTAGATTGTTTCATTCTTTGTATATGCTGTATATGTATATATATACATATACATATATATGTGTATATATACATATGTAAATATATATTATATATAATTATATATATAATTATATATAATATATAATACATGTAAAAGAGAACACGTAAATAACAAGGTATATACTATATATAGTACATACCTTGTTATTTATATATATATTTATTTATATATAGTATATACCTTGTTATTTATGTGTGTGTATATATATATATATATATATATATACACATATATAGTATATACCTTGTTATTTACATGTTCTCTTCTCCATTTGGATGTAAGCTGTCCAAGGGCAGAGGCTGCTGCTTTTGCCTTTTTTTTTTTTGATACTCAATAAATGCTTGTTGGTTCACTGATTGATCTACTACCTAGCACAATGCCTGGCATATAGTAGTTGCTTGACAAATGCTCAATTGATATGAGTAACTCCTTCTTAGAAAGCAATTTGTTCTTTGTAATAATGATAATAGAAATAGTTGCTATTTGTGTAGCTTTAAGTTGTGCAAAGCACTTCACATATATTATCTCATTTGATACTTGAAACAATACTGTATGATGGGTACTGTTATTATCTCTATTTTACAAAAGAAACTAAGAATTGGAGAGGTTAAGTGACTTGCCCAGGATCATGCAGCTAAATAAGTGTCTGAAGCAGAATTTGAACTCAAGTCTTCTTGAATTCAAGTCTGATGCTCTATGAAAACCTTAAAACACTAGATAAATGGAGGTGATGATGATGATGATGATGACGATAATGACAAAGACCGTGGCAATGAAGAATCTGTCAATTGGAAGGAGTTATGCACATCTGGGAATTCTCTAGTATCTTTTATCCTATAGAAGTATTTTATGAAACTGAAAGAAAAGTTCCTTATGCATATTACTTAACCTTACAGAGAAGTATTGTCGGCTAGATGCTGATAGAAAATTATTCATTACCACCGACTTCATAATTTTCATCATCCTCATATGTGAAATTGGAAGGAAATTTGAGGAAAGCTCACAAGTGCAAAGAATCCTGTGCACACTTTCTCTCTCTCTCTCTCTCTCTCTCTCTCTCTCTCTCTCTCTCTCTC